ACGACATAGAATAATGTCTGTCTTTCAATATTGAACAATGAAAAGCTGACTAAATCATTTCTGTATGTAAATTATAGGTATGCAAATTCAATTCAATTCCATATTTATTTGGATTTTGCTTTGAACTTTCGTATAATAAAACTTAAGTTAATTTTTCAAACTGCATAGGTACATATTTTTGAAATCAAATTATGCTTTTAACTTAACAGCCAGCTCTACTCGGCATAGAATATTTAGAAAGCAACAGATATTCCGCAAATTTATTTCGAAAGTTTAAAAATTCCCAGTGATACAATTGAGAAATATAGGATAGTGGCCCAAATTTAATTAATAATGTAATATCAATTCAGTAGTTTTTGTTGTTTGCATTTTTCTTCTCACCTGGGGAAAACGGGAAAAAATGTTCATCTTTCTTCCCCGGCGACAGTTAAAATAAAAAGTAGTATGTAGAGTTAATAAAAAAATAAATACAGACAAAAACACAGTTTTAAACTGACAAAATCCTAGTTTTAATTTGAAAGAAAATTAAATTGAATTTTTAGACAAAAACTGATACAAAGTTATGAAGGAATTAGTCCCTATTGTACTTGTATTTATTCTAATAACTGTTTTGTTAAGCTCTATATTTTATATGTTTTGTTTTGCTTTGGCTATTGTGTTATTCTTGTTTTGCGCCTCTGCTCACGAAAAAAATTTTTTCCTTAATAAAGTCTCCCTATTTTTTCAGGAAATGAAAGCAATGTTGTATGGTGCAGTAGAACAGGCACCATCCGCCGAACTTGTTGAACCCGACATTTTAACTAGATATTTTGCAAAATTTGACGAACAGTTTTTCAGCTTCTCCGAAAAGGAACTAACAAAAATCAACACATTTTATTCCGGTAGAACACAACAAATTTTAATCTGATTGCCCTGCTGAATGTTACCCCGATTTTAGAAAAATTGGCTGAAGCTACAAGAAGATTTGCTAATTTAAAAAGCGAACTTAGCGAAACACAAGAGGTTGATTCGGCTGGGAAAAATAGAAAAAAATCAATCAAACAGAACATTCTACGCAAGAAGAACGTTCCGGCCAGAAAAATGCAGGAATTGAAACTAGCGTTTAGCGAATTTTATTTAAGTTTAATTTTATTGCAGAATTATCAAAATTTAAACTTTACGGGATTTAGGAAAATTTTAAAGAAGCATGACAAAGTAAGTACCGTTTTATGTCATATTTTATTTAATCTCATTTCCACTTAAATAAGTGGCTTTTATTCATTTGTAAACCATTTTTAATTCATTTAATGACCTGAAATGTTTAACAGTTTTTTAATGGATATACATGGAATAACATGTTCAAATAATCCTTTGGGCATTGAGTAAACACGTCGAAAAGCAGCTTTTACAACAAATTGTTAGGAAATCTTTGATGGATATAATGGGATTCTTAACGAAACAAATCGAGCGCAGAAAACGAGAAATTAACATTTTTTGCTTAGTATTTAAATATATCTATCAACTTATAAAAAAATTATGTTGCAGTAGAACCTTGATGGGGTTTTAATCAACGAATTTCTGGTAGTGTTAATGTTTTCCAGCTATTATCTGTAGACGTAGGCATGCGATGGCGAATTGAAAATGTAGAAAACTCACATTTCTATACGAATAAAGATATCGATCGACTGATAAGAGAAACAGAGGCAACATTCACGCAAGACTTGGAATCTGGTGATCGACAAAGAGCAATGAAGAGACTGAGAGTTCCACCATTGGGAGAGCAACAGAGCCCTTGGACCACTTTCAAGGTGGGATTGTTCTCTGGAGGTTTTATAGTACTTATTGCTGCAGTTATACTATCAGGTAATTTATGCGGAATGTATTTGCAGTRAAAACTCGTGAGTTGAGAGAGAGGCAAATTAAAATGAACTTYYAGGGTTATTTSTTTAGTATAGCCYTGCAAGGCSGAGAGGATATGTATAGTATATATAWGTATGCGGCAGCAGATTTTYGTGTTATAAACTCTTATAAACGCCCATTTTTTCTCACCTCTCATTATTTGCMCCAACACAATATTCTATRCGACWAAARATTTAAAAAATACGGAAGAATAAAATACRTTTAATTGTACTAACGAGAAACATTCACTTAAATAAGCCCTTTTCTAGCTAAAACGTAACTCTTTATATGRTTTAKTYTTATCATAWCTATTGGGTCTATTAAAAACCTTAAAAAAAATTCTGTATCATYAGCAAACTCCTTATTTGCGTAAAATATTTTAGTAAACACYYTTTTGTAATAAGTAAGTAATTTTTKTACTTTKCAATTTGCATATTTCTAGTTCAATTTTAGGAGTGTTTCACTCACCAAAAGAAGACTGGCGTATAGTTACTCGACTTTATAGAGGCCCTCTTCTTATCGTAGAATTTTTATTTTTGTGGGGCATTAATATTTATGGCTGGAGATCTTCGGGCGTCAATCATGTTCTCATTTTTGAAATGGACCCCCGAAATCACTTGTCCGAGCAACACATTATAGAAATGGGGGCAATTTTTGGAATAATGTGGTCAATTTCAGTAAGTTATTGGTTTTAGGATTTGACGGAATCTAATCTGGAAAATCCTGGATTTTCAGGTGCTCTGTTTCTTTTTCAGTGAGCAAATCGGTTTGCCAGCATTCGTGCATCCTCTAGCTTTAATTATCTTGATGCTGATGTTCATGTTGAATCCCACCAAAACACTCAGACATGAAGCTAGATTTTGGGCCCTCCGAGTCCTGGTGTGTAGTAGCTGCATGCTTTTTATTTGCTATGTTCACTATAACTAGGTATTTCTATTTTATTTGCTTTTATGTCTGTATTTGTTTCGTTTTTTCCAAAAAGACTTTTTTAATGTAATGCAACAGTATATGATTAACATTTGCCTTTTTTACTTTTTTAAATAGAAGATCTACCGACAATTATATAAAATATGTTCTTGCTTTAAAAATAAATGTGTAACAGATATGGTTGATTGAACAATTCCTGTATTCTGGTGATTCTAAACTTTGTAGATTCCTTGAAGAAACATTTCTCTTTCTTATTCGGTAACTGCAAAAAACGTGGGAAAACTTGACTTGGTTGACAAAAATTTAATGTGTTACTTGTGTTATTTACAATCTATTGATGTTTATTGCATTCATGTTATTCCGGATTACTTTACTATCCGGAGTTTTTAACACTAACAACTATTGCTATTAGACTGCATTTTTCAAATAGCGTTAATGTTTTTTTTATGCATCTAGCGATAACCGCAAGCAACTGCGTTATTCTTGCTAATATTTTTGCAATATTGTCGTTTTAGGGCAAAGTCGTGATGAGTCCATTTTTCTTTGTTTCCTTTGCTGATTTTTGGCTTGCCGACCAATTAAACAGCCTGGTCACACTCTTCACGGACCTGCAATATTTTGTGTGTTTTTATGTGAGCAATGGAAGTTGGTCTGAAGGCAAAGGTAAGTTACAGTACAGCAACGCTTTTGAGTTACAGCCAAAAAGGCACTGAATGAAATACATGCGGGAAAACACTTAGTTTCCTTCATTTAAAAACTACATATAACTATATTGAAAATAAAATGTACACTTTATTAGCTAGTATTTATTTTCGATCATTTTGCGGTCAATTCAAATACATTTTTTAATTTTCAGGGTGTTTTATACAATTAATAATTGTTAGTTATATGATTCGCTCTGCATTAGACTTTAATTCAAACTATTTACGTAGATTTTAAGTGTCACATGAATATTCGCGCCGTCTAATTCATGGTTCTGATATAATAGCTTAATTTGCTGAACTGATATTCCTTAATGTGATACGAATTTCAAAAATAATTTTAACGATGCTTTCTTTCATAAATATATCTTAACTACTGAATAAAATAGACAGTACACGGACAAATTTCGACTAATTTTGGAACTGGACAACTTTCGTTTTCTAAACTAACGATTTGATTCCTATTTGAAGAGTTATTTAGTGCAATTATTTTTCAGCTCGTGCATGTTTTTTACAGAAATTTAGTGCGTCAGATAAAGTTTCTACACGGTGGCGAACGAAGCAATGCAAAATTGGTAAAAAGAACATCCACATGTTCTGTCGGAAAAATTTTGTTTTTGGTTTTGCAGCGGTTCATTTTGTCTCTTCAGCCAATTTTCAACATCTGGAGCTCGTGTTGAAATTGAAGTTGTTGTTGGGTTTGCAAAATTAAATATACCAGGTTGCATGAATTAACGAAATATTTAAAAGTGAACATTACTTCAGTTAAAAGTCTGCGAAAATAACAGATTTCAGGAAAAATTCTGATTTGAGTAATTTTTCATGCAATCCTGCATATTGAATGTTCCTCTTAGATTGTCTATGAAGTTTAAGCTTCAACATGAAAAAACTTCAGCTTTGCAGCCGACAAATTATCGCTGCGAGACCAAAAAGTTGATTTTTAAGACCACCTTATAAATAGAAGAGATGATTTAAAAATGCAAAAACAGTTTCGAGCTATTTGGTTCAATTTTAATGTCGAAGCTTCCAAAATTTTGCATTTTGCTATTTGCCAGCCTGTAGCAAATGTATCTGAGGTGCTTAATTTTCAGCAGAACATTGACTAACAACAAACAAAATGGGCAAATAACGCTTGAAACTCAAAGTAAATCGCTCGAAACAATCTGAGTTTATTCAGTACCAAAGTTAGAGCAAATTCATTTTGTTGAGCAGTTTAATAAAACCCATCAGATAAAAATTACAAAAATATCACTTCTTCGCTTACAATTCAGCATTATTATTAAATTTTAAAATTGTTTGATTGACTCTTTTGTTATAGATCCCAATTATTGCATAGAAAGTTTTATGGGAGTCCGAGCTCTGATGGCGTGTCTTCCCCCATGGTTTCGTTTCGCTCAATGTTTAAGACGATACCGAGATACTAAAGAAGCATTCCCTCATATAGCCAATGCTGCCAAATACGCTACGTCCTTTTTTGTTGTGATATTTTCTACTTTAAATAAACTAGACGAATGTAAGTATGTTTTTGATTAGAACCATTCATGTGTTGATTATCGGGCATTTTAGTCAATTCTTCAGATAAAGACAAGGTTTCTCCTTATTTCTACTTGTGGGTTTGTGCATCGATAGTAAGCACCTGCTATGCGTACACATGGGATATTAAACTGGATTGGGGTCTTTTCGATGCCAAAGCTGGCGATAATAAATTCCTGAGGGAAGAGATCGTGTATCCGGCCACGGTATGTAAGTCTAGTTTTAAATTCAGTTTTAACAAGTCCGATGAATGGAAAACGTGGAAAAAGTATAAATATTAATTATAATATTAAAGTCATTGAACTGGACAGTTTCTAAAATACATTACTTAACACGAAAGGTAATTTAAAATTGATTTTCATCTGCTTTTGAGCATATTTTCTGGCTTCTAACAATTTTTCGTTTGGATTTGTTTTGTCATCTGTAGCGGATAGCAATCTAAATCAATGAACTAGAAAATTAGCTTTGTAATGTGGGAATATCTAAAAAATAAATTTCTTCTGGAAAAATTGATCAAATATCTTAATCGAATTTCACATTTTTTGGCACTGTCTTTAATAATGAATAATTTCAATATAAAATTCATATAAAAATTATTTTAACTCCACTAAGTAGTCAATTCTGTTGGAACAAAAATTAATTTAGAATATTTGAAAACAGAGCGGGCTAAAGGTCCACATCTAGATATTTGTCTCTCAAATAAATTACACGTACAGGAAAAGTGTTGTTCAATTTCAGTGGTTCTACTATTTTGCCATAGTCGAAGACTTGATTCTGCGGTTCGGATGGGCTTTCCTAATTGGAATGACTGAAATGGGATACGTAATGGAAAACTCCATGGTCTGCATTTTAGCTCCATTAGAAGTTTTCAGGTATTCAAAACATTATCAGACTTGTTTAGAGTAATATCTTAAACGTATTAAGAGCGAAGAACACGATGAAAATAAGTATCATTCTACGTCATTTCGCTGAAAAAAAGCACAAACAGTGAAAGGTCATTTTAAATGTGGGTAACATTGCTGTCTTGTATTGCAGGGGCGTAAATAAATAATGTTTAAAAATATCATTCTTCAAAAGTTGTGGGCAGTATAAGTCAGAGGCATTCTAATGTAATGAGATTTCGCCCTATTTCTAAGAAGCTTCTAATCGATAACTAATTTCCAGGAGATTTGTTTGGAATTTTTGCCGCTTAGAAAACGAACACCTCAATAACTGCGGCAAATTCCGAGCCGTTCGTGATATTTCCGTAGCACCATTGGACACATCTGATCAAATGTTAATCGTCCGGATGATGGATGAAGCGGACGGAGTGATCAACAGGAGAAAGCGAAAAAATAAGAAAAGAGGAGAGCACAGAATTATTTTGGATCCTGGAGAGTCAACTGACGATCTCGAGAACTAGTCACATAGTGTTATGGCATGTGGATTTTATTTTTGTTATGTATTATTTTTTAATAAACGTTAACTAGTTGTACGATCTACAATTACAATTTAATCGAGTTTTGATTTTAAGCCATACCGTTGGGGTAAGGGTTGATAAAACAATACCCTGTGTATGCCAAAGAGACAACATCGGCTATGGAAATTAGTTTGTTTTACAACTTCAGGCCCACGCTAATATACAGAGTCCCATAATAATTACACTAGCGTGTTAACAGGGACAAGTTACGGAATATTACGCTGTCGGTTTGTCTGGCTGTTTATACTGTATATTGCCTTTATTTTAAATAGTATTGAGCAATCGCGTGAAGAATTCTTAATTACATACTTCCATACACAGGGTTTAACCAATAAACGGACTAAAACAGCGCTCATGCCAGTTTTTTTTTTAAATCAATAACGCAATGTTTAATTGCTATTGACTATTTTCTCAGTTCAACTCAGATGATTCCACGAACAGATTTCAACAAGGTCTTGAAGCAAAGTAAGAAGTGGTGAGAGTATGGAATAATGCGATCTTCTTGATTCACAGTCGAAACATATATTTTGTCTTCACATCGTGTTTTATTCGAGGTGTTGAAGAGTGATGTGCAAATATTTTAAGAATCTGTTAAGAATGTGGCTTTAAAGACATTCCTATTAACTATTTCTATTTATGCTTGTCAACTCAAAATTTCCCGCAAAAATGCGTTTTTTTTCGAAAATCCTTTAACTTACTAGTTTGAATTTAAGTGAACAATAATATCTGCATGAGAGGTAGTTTATGGCGTCAAAATTGTCGTGTTAGAGGTTTTAAATAAAATACATTGACACCGACTGTTTTTCTTTTTCATAGAACTTTTTCAAGCACAGCGAACAATACATTTCGTATAAAAACTTTTTAGTTTGTTAATTTCTCCGTATGTTTTCGGTGTTTTCTTGTACAAAAAAATATTAATGTATTAATTATTTATAATTATTAATACGATTATGTTTTATTCTCACTACTACCCCGAGAGTTCACAATTATTTCAGAACATTTTAACCTTCTTTCTGCTGATTAGCTAACTTTGCACCAAATGTTATTGTATAAGTTCACATTAATTGTCGCAAAATAGGTATTGAATAGAACCAAAAATCAATTATACTAATAAGGTTTTATTTAGAAAAAAAATTGTTACTAAATGCTAGGAAATTGAAACCTTTGAAGAATGTGTTCAAAAATTGCACAGTTTCGCCATGAGATAATCAGAAACATTTTCTGAGTATTTTTCATTCGCTCTCTGATGCTATGAACACAATTTAACTAGTGCGTTAACGAGTAAGGTCCTACAAATCTGTAGATCATTCACTAGAACCATTCAGTAAAAAAAGCAAATTCACATGAAATTGTTATACATAGATAGAATAAAAACATTATCTGGATAAATTTTTGCGATTGAAACCATTCAATAATTTAAGTAAATTACTACTAAGTTTGTCGACGATTTACCTAAGTTTTTATACAAGTTTTATAAATAAATAAATGTGAACATCTACCCGATATTGCCCACGATGTGTGTGACTTCTGACAGTGTATCCGGTTAAAATAAGGATATATTTTAATCTTTTGACTCTTTAAATTGATTTTCAATACACGTTCAGTGGTCGACAAAACGGCAATTTTACCTACCTACTGATAGACCTGTAACTGTATTTTTAGAAAATTTGAGGTTTAATTTTAATTCATAAAGCTCAAAAATACTCTCTGATCAAACTACAGTTTTTGAAACAAATTATATAGTCCAAATAAGGTATTATCAGACGTATCAAACAAATTAAAGTTTACATAAACATTTACATACTACAACAGAATAATTCTGTATATAAAAGGGTTCATATGTTGGTTCATTGCTGACTAGCACTATTCAATATATCGTTTTTAAGTCAGTTTGTAAAAATTACTTAGGCCGGCATGCATAGTCGATCTCTTACGATGCGCCAGCCTCCCGACGTTCACTGGAAGCAATTTTGGTTGCATAGCCGATCGGTTGAGCATCTGACGCGCATTTTAATGTTGTTGTGCGATACGGTGGGAATTTGTCGGAGATGGGTGGACGAATCTATGTGAACGATCGCCAAAGCTATTTTGTGAGCGAAAATTCTCAACTTCTCGTGTTATCGGGATAATTCGAACTTGGAATTAGATTTGAACATACCACAAAGGTACGTAAAGAAAACATCAACAAGCGTGATATGCAATTGAAATAATGATTGTATTATTTTCAGATATATTCAAGGTATGGAAACGACATAGAGAAATTTACTGAAGCCGATTTTAGAAATCGCTTTTCTTTCTCAAAGGAAGTTGTGCAAAATGTTTTGTTGCCATTGATCAATCACTAGGAACAAACCACAAATCGAGGCCTTCATATTCTCTTGATAATAAACAAAGTTAAAATTGCATTATATTTTTCTAATGTTTTGAAAAGAAGTTACGGAATCAATTGGTTAATGTTCTCAACCTTAATAATGGCTTTCACCGTTAATATGTATTTTCTTAGAAAAAATAGTCATATGGAGATTTATTTATACAATATCTTATCCTCCGTGGTCCTAGCCGCAGTGGATAACGCTGGATAGCAAAACAATCTCCGGCAAAGTGCCGAACATCGACTATGCATACCGGCGTTAGAAAGCATGATTTATTTTAACACATTTCAAAAAATTTGAGAACTTTATTAGCAATTGCGGTTTTTGAAATATATATATATTTAAATTTGACCTGAACCTTCAATGCTTGGGGAGATTTCTAAATTCGTTAAATTATTCAGGTAGACTTAATTATAAACCGATTTGATTATAAATATTTATTTATGCAATTAATTCACCAATTATTTGTTTGGTCTTAAACCCTAGACTTTACATTATAATGCAAAATTATGTGCTTATGTATTCGGGAAATGTTAGAAGTAAAAATGATCTGTGAACACTGACAAATAAAGGTTTAATAAAATAAAACAAGCTCCTTCCCGTTTGATAATTCAACTATTCAGAATTCAGACGAAATGTCTGTAATACCATAATAAATATGTGGTAAAATAGAGTTTCAAATTGTAAACTGATCAGCCAACTGAAACTTGACACGACGTTAGAAATCAGGTTTCGGAGAAATCGCCAAATCCCACAGGAGTCAATACTCTGCTGCCGTATCTGATGCTGCTGGTAAGTAATTCAAAACTTTCTAACTGAAGCAAATTTAATTAATGGAGATCTGGATTCACAGCAATAAAACAATTAAACTATGTTCTCCAATTAAAGCGTTTAAGAACTCATACGATTTAATTGCACTTTTGCGATTTATTATATTAAATATTTCATACTTTTCATTATTACTTGTTACTTAGTGTATCATTTCATTGCAGTTTAAAAATATTTTCAAAGATACTTTCTGTTTGTGAAAGGTTGATGCTGAAGAACATTTGCTGATGTGCTTCTGCCCTTTGATAATTTTTCATGGAGACATCAGCGATTGTTGATCCTGCATGGATTAAATTTAAATAATCCACTTTTTTAGCCAAATAATTTTATAGACAAGTTCTATATTGTTGAGGCGGATTCATTTTTTTACAAACTGTTGGTTGGATATTTTGCCTCAAAAATTTTTGAATTAAAAAGACAGAATTTCCTCCCGTCTTTTATTAAGATTATATTATTTCTTATTCTTATTTATTAAGAGCACTATTTATCAATCTGTAATAAACGACGTGAGGAAACAAACATTTTTGAGGCGAAATACCCAACAAACAGTTTGAAAACAACTTTATGTTTAATTTTCTTATTACATCAGTTAATCTGTTGCCTTCGTAAGTTTCCAAATATAATCCGAGATTAACTGCTATTTTTGGAAGAAACACGTGGTCATCAGCGATATCTATCCACATAATAACGAGTTTTTGGCCAAAACTGAAAGACCCACACATGGACGAAAATACAAAAGATTCAATTAAAAGATAGCTGGTGCAGTGCGCGCAACTGGGAAAAACTTCCTCGAATTCCCGATGAAGCTGGAAGCCGAAAGCGGGGCCGAACGCCCACTGACTGAAACAAAAATAATGATTTTCACTCAAATCTTAATGGAATTCCGGTATGCAAATTCCAAGGGTAATAGCCAAAGTAATTACTCTTTTTGAATTCGAGGTGTTTTAGTTGATTCCGTTTGTCTCTTAGATGAATTTAATCTAGCGCGATTGCACACTTTTAATAGACATTTTTGGAAGTTATTCTAGCGTGGTCGTATTTGTGGGTTGTCGTTGAAGTTGCAAAAGTGAATATTGGATTAAAATATTTTCTAAAACTTTCCAGTCAAAGTGAAAGGAAAATGCTGTAAAATGTTCGTCACAATTCATCACTTCGAGTTCAGTCCTATAACTACTTCATTCCATACACCCTGGATCTCATGAAAAATTAATTCAGTTATAAGTTGCTTAAAAACGATCACACCGATAAACGAGCGCCTGCTCAGCATGTTTGACTTACTTTAATTTAAACCCTGGCGCTTTGCTAAATGCATTCCAGTTAACTTCTAATTTATTCCATCTGCTCGAAATTCAACTGGGCCGGTAAAATAAATGTTCCCTGCTAAAAAGAACTGTGCGGCAATTTGCTTCTATTTATCTTTTACAAAAGTGATGTCTACCAAATAGATTAAATTACACGAATTTTAATTAACTGTTGGTCCAGGTTTTTTGCATTTAATCAAAACGTACACGTGTATTACTCGAAATTAAATCATAGCCAAAGGCAATTTTTACGTTTGCTTAATTTTCCAATGGGAAAATAGCAGGCATAAAACATACATAAACATTTTGCGGCCAAGTTCAAGTACATTTTTATTAAAATGCCATCCCAACTGGAGAAGTATCAATAAAACTAAATTGGCTGCTCTTGCCCTGAACTTAACATTTTATGAACGCGTTTTAACATTTTTAAATAAACCTGCGGATGGAGCGGTGACTTTATTAGATTTATAATTGAGATAACATTTTAAGTATATACCAGGTGACATTGGAAGGGGGCGTTTTAAAAGATATTTAT